GTGTAAGCCAGCCACTTCATGCCTTTATCTCCCCCCATTTTAAATAGCCAATTTCTAATTTGCCCATCCCTATTCAAACCAGTACTCTAAGGAGACATGGTCCTTTCTCTCTGGAGAATCTTCTGTTCTGCTTGGAAACTTCAGGCATGTGGATCCATAAACAAGCAAAGTTCAGCCCAGCACAAGCCATCAAATTGCAGCAACTTAACACTAGCTCAGTGTCAAACATCTTCATCTTCGTTTGGTCAGATTCTGCTCAGCTCAGCCCTAGCCATCCCAGCTAGGTCATGGGTACCAGCTGCCAAGTTTGGGAGTCACACTCTTCCCTTCACTTCAGACCAGCTAGCACCTTCTCTCACATCTTCAGTCCTCAGGGACTATTTCAATGCCCATAGCTCACAATTCATTGCACTTCAGACCAGCCAGAACTTCCTCTCATCCCCAGCCTCTGGGCCTAGGCCAAAGAGTACCAAACTCAGCCTGTTTCTTCTTTGCTGCACTTCCCCCATTTCCACTCAGGAGGATCCAGGTGGTCACAAGCAAGTAACATACAAGTCTACTACTCAGTTCCACATTGCTCTCTCACTCTACCCAGGGCCTTTGAAGAGTCATATTGAGTAATTCACTGCACCAGTGCACACCTCATGTGCAGGACACCCCCTTCCACCTGTCAGTAGAGGCTTGCATGATACTGAACAGGTTTCAATAGAGCTTCCAGACAAAAATGAAGTAGGTAGTCCTCTCAATTGACTCCTTCTGAAAATCAGCCCATGAAAACCCTATGGATCAGAGTCCAATCTGGAACGAAACATGGGGCTAGCTCAGGAGCAGGCAGCATTTTGTTCCGTTGCACACAGGGTCACCATGAATTTAGAGACCATGTGAAGAATAGATTTGACTCATTGAACACCAGTGACTGAAAGCCAGATGAATTGTGGGATGACATCAAGAACATCACACAAGAAGAAAGCAAAAGATCATTAAAAAGATAAGAAAGAAAGAAAAGACCAATATGGATGTCAGAAGAGACTCTGAAACTTGTTCTTGAGTGGAGAAGAGCTAAAGCAAAAGGAAGAAATGACAAAATAAAAGAGCTGAACAGAAGATTTCAAAGGGCAGCTTGAGAAGACAAAGTAAAATATTATAATGAAATGTGCAAAGACCTGGAGTTAGAAAAGCAGAAGGGAGGATACACTCAACATTTCTCAAGCTAAAAGAACTGAAGAAAAAATTCAAACCTTGAGTCGCAATAGTGAAGGATCTATGGGCAAAATATTGAATGATGCAGGAAGCATCAAAATAAGACAGAAGGAATACACAGAGTCACTGTACCAAAAAGAATTGGTTGATGTTGAACTATTTTAGGGGGTAGCATATGATCAAGAACTAATGATAATGAAGGAAAAAGTCAAAGCTGCACTGAAGGAGTTGGCAAAAAATAAGCCTCCAGGAATTGACGGAATACCCATTGAGATGTTTCGACAAACAGATGTAACCCTGGATGTACTTACTCATTCATGCCAAGAAATTTGGAAGACAATTTCCTGGCCAGCTGACTGGCAGATATCAATATTTGTACCCATTCCAAAGAAAGATGATTCAACAGAATGTGGAAATTATCAAACAATATCATTATTATGCCACACAACTGAAATTTTGCTGAAGATAATTCAAAAATGGTTGTAGCAGTATGTTGACAGGGAGCTTCCAGAAATTCAAGCTGGATTCAGAAGAGGATGGGGGATGGGGGATATCATTGCTGATGTCAGATGGATCTTGGCTGAAAGCAAAGAATACCAGAAGATGTTTACTTGTGTTTTATTGACTATGTGAAAGCATTTGATTGTGCGAATCATAACAAATTATGGATAACATTGCAGCAGGTGAGAATTCCAGAACACTTGATTGTGCTCATGAGGAACCTGTACATAGATCAAGAGCCTGTCATTCTAACAGAACGAGGGGCTACTGCATGGTTTAAAATCAGGAAGGGTGTGTGTCAGGGCTGGATCCTTTCACCATACTTATTCAGTCTGTGTGCTGAGCCAATAATCCAAGAAACTGGACTATATGAAGAAGAACATGGCATCAGGATTGGAGGAAGATCCCTTAACAACTTGTGATATACAGATGACACAACCTTGCTTGCTGAAAGTGAAGATGACTTGAAGCACTTACTGAAGAAGACCAAAGACTACTTCAGTATGGATTACACCTCAACATAAAGATAATAAAAATCCTCACAACTGGACCAGTAAGCAATATCCTGATAAATGGAGAAAAGTTTGAAGTCATCAGGGATTTCATTTTACTTTGATCCATAGTCAACAGCTATGGAAGCAGCAGTCAGTCAAGAAATCAGACATCATATTTCATTTGAGAAATCGGCAAAAGATTTCTTTAAAATATTAAGAAACAAAGATGTCACTTTGAAGTCTTGGCTTAACCCAAGCCATGGTATTTTCAATCGTCTCATATGCCTGTGAAAGCAGGACAATGAATAAGGAAGACTGAAGAAGAGTTGGTGCCTTTGAATTGTGATGATGGTGAAGAACACTAAAAATATCATGGACTATCATAAGAACAAACAACTCTGTCCTGGAAGAAGTGCAGCTGGAATGCTCCTTAGAAACGAGAATGGGCAGACTTCATCTTGCCTACTTTGGTCATGTTGTCAGAAGGGACCTTGCCTGGAGAATGATCTCATGCTTGGTAAAGTAGAGGTCAAGGAAAAAGGAGAAGACCCTCAATGAGATGGATCGACACAATGGCTGCAACAATGGGCTCAAGTATGGCAAGAATTGTAAGGATGGTGCAGGACTAGCAAGTGTTTTGTTGTGCTATGCATAGGGTCACTATGAGTTGGAGCCAACTCGATGGCACCTAACAACAACAACAACAACAACAACGATATTCAGGAGGCCAGAAGCCCAAATTCAGGGTATTGGCACAAGGGGAAGACTCTCTGTTGGCTGTGTGAGAAAATTGTCTTTCAACTTTTCTAGTGTTCCTTGGACATTTCCTTGTGGCATCTATCCTTCTCCCATTCATGCTTGCTTGCCTGGTGGCTTCTCTGTACCTAATCCACTCTTTTTATATCTCCAAATATTTGGCTTAATGTCTTAAGCCAATCTATACTGACATGGCCTCATTATCATAAAAAGAAAACTCTATTCCCAACTGTGATTTTAACCACAGGCATTTTTTTTTTTGGATATAACATTTTGGGGGGAACAAAATTTAATTATAACAGAGCTGTTGTGGAAGATCTTTCTCTAACAGAGGACATTTCAGCTGTGAGGGACAAAGATTACTAAGGGCAGGGGAGAGAGGAGAGCCTCCCAGAGGCAGGAAGCCACGAGGCCAAGGGCCCTGAGAGAAGAATGAGGTTGGTGTGCCAACAGAACAGTAAGGAGGCTGTGTGACTAGAACTCAGGAGTGAAGCAGGAGTGGATGGGGGCAAGGTTGACAAGATAGTCAGGGGCCTAGCCAGCCACTGTACAGAATTCTAAAATAATAGGAAGCTGGTGGATTGTTTGTAGCAGGAAGGAGTACGATCACTAAAAACTGTATCAAATGAAAAAAACTGTATGGATTGAATTGTGTTCCCCAAAATATATGTCAACTTGGCTAAGCTCTGATTCTTAGTATTATGTAATTATCCTGCATATTGTCATCTGATATAATTATCCTATATGCTGTAAATTCTGACCTCTATGATGTTAATTGGATAGGATTAGAGGTAGTTATGTTAATGAGACAAGATATGAATTAATTATGTTAATTCATAATTATGTTAGGTTGTATTTTGAGTCAATCTCTTGAGATAGAAAAGAGATTAAACAAGGGAGCATAAATAGAGGAACCTATCACCAAGGAAAAAGAGCCAGGAGTGGAGTGTGTCCTTTAAACCTGGGTCCTTGTGCTGAGAACCTCCTAGACCCAGGAGAAGATTGATGGCAAGACTCATGGAGATCTCCAAAGAATGCTGGGTCTACAGATGCTGAAAGGAGACAAAAACCTGCCTCCTAAGCTGTGAGCCAACACAGAGAGAAAGCCTTACTCTAGAGCTGGCTCCCTGAATTCAGACGTCTAGATAATTCAGACAAAATCAGTCACAAAAGGCCACATATCATAAGATTCCACATCTTAGTTTGCTAGTGCTGTTGTTACAAAAATACCACAAGTGGGTGGTTTTAACTAACAGAAACATATTTTCTCACAGTTTAGGAGACTGGAAGCCCAAATTCAGGGTGTCAGCTCCAGGAGAAGGCTCTCTCTCTGCTCTGAGGGTCGTCCTTGTCTCAGCTTCTGTAACATTCTTCTCATGCGTTCCTTGGAGATTTCCACATGACATCTATCTTTTCCCTATTTGTGCTTACCTGTTTTTGTGCCTAATCTGCTCTTTTTATATCTCTAAAGGAATTAGGTTTCAGACATATCCTACATTGATATTGCTTCATTCACATAACAAAGAAACTGCTATTCCCAAATGGGATTACATCCATAGGTATAGGGGTTAGATTTACGATACATACTCTGGGGGGACACAATTCAGTCCATCACATTAATCCTATTTGAAATGTTCAGAACAGGCAAATCCATAGAGACAGAAAGTAGATTAGTGGTTGCCTAGGGCTTGGGAGGGAAATGGGCTTTTTTTTTTTTTAACTTTTTATTGTGATTTGGGTGAAAGTTTACAGACCCAATTGGTTTTCCATTTAACAATTTGTACACATTTTGATTTGTGACATTGATGGCAATCCCCACAATGTAACAGCACTCTTCCTGCTTCTTCACTGTGTTTACCATTTCCGTTTGTCCTTCTTTCTTATCCTTTCTGCCTCTGGGCTTTATCCCCGGGTAAATGCTACCCTGTTGATCTTGTATGGTTGGTTGTTCTAATGAGTGGTACCTCCCTGGTGTTATTGTTCACCTTATAGGACTGTCTATCACTTGGTTCAAAGTTGAGCCACAGGGGTGGGTTTGGTTTCAGGCTTGAAGGATGTCTGAGGGTCATAGTCTACTATGATAATAGGCTCTACCAGGCCCTATTAGGCCAGTAAGCCTGGTCTTTTTTATGACTTCGAGTTTTGTTCCACGTTTTTTCTCTCAGTCTGTCCAGGACCCTCTAACGCAATCCCTGTCAGAGCAGTTGGCAGCGGTAGCCTGACCCTGTCCAGTTCTGGTCTTGGGGTCATAGACGCTGGGGTTCACATGGCCCATTAGTCATTTGGATTAATTGTTTCTGTACATCTTTGATTTCCTTCACTGTAATTTGCTATAGATAGGGAACATAACTGCTTTTTTCATGATGAAAATATTCTAAACCTCCCTTTTTTTTTTTTCTAGAATTTTACCTTATTTTTTTTGTGTTTATTACTTTTAAGCACTCCCAAGGTGTTGAACTTTTATAGACTTCAATGATCTCTGTTTGTTACAGATTCAACATCAAGGGCAATTGATTTAATCCCAACCAAAGCACTCTTAATTTAGCTTTGCTACATTCCACTACAGGGAGCTCTGGTATCATAGTGGCTAAGACACTTGCCTGCTCACCAGACAGCTGGCAGTTCAAACCCACCAGCCACTCCTCGGAAGGAAGGTTGGACAATCCTACTTCTGTAGTGATACTGCCTCGGAAACCCAAGGAGGGGTCGCTATGAGTCGGGTTTGACTCGACAGCACATAACAACAACAACAACAACAACACATTCCACTACTTTAAATTTGGATATGTTTTAATTCATTTGTATTTTCTTTAGTAAGCCAGGGTATTTGCAAGCTGACAGGAATACTGGTAGTTGGAAGGTCAAAATATTTCCGGCTAATATATCTCCCCTATTCAACTTGCTAGGAGAAGTCAGGTGTGTGAAAGTGTTTGCCAAAGGGACACTTGTCATCTCCGCTTCCAAGGATCACACACTGCGCTTGTGGAACTTACTCTCTGGCAAGGAGAAATTCATCATCTGGGATGGCAGGTCAAAAAATCCCACCGAACCTCAGTTCTGGAACCTTCATGTGGATGAAGCAAACAAAGTTGTGTATTCAACGTCTGGCTCAAAGGTAAAATAACACTTGCTCTGCTTATAAAGGAAATCTATGTCTGAATCTAAAGTGTTCAAAGATGGAATAGGCTGTTTCTATAAGGAGGAGCTCTCTCACACGGGGTGTGTAAACAGAGATATACAACCACTGGAGAGGATGTTATAAGAGGTTTCAAATGTCACCATTGCATAAGATGATCTGGATAGTTTCTTCTTATCTTAAGATTTGAGACCTTTTATCTTGTTTATATAATCATTTTGGTGCTGTGAATTTCCCTCTAAGTACTGCTTTATCTGCATCCCACAAATTTTGCTATGTTGTATTTTAATTTGCATTTAGTTTTAAGTACTTTTAAATTTCCTTTTAATTTCTCCTTGGATCTATGGGTTATTTAGAAGTGTGCTTTTAGTTTCTAATTATTTGAGGGTTTTCCTGATAGCTTTCTGTTATCTATTTATTTATTTATTTTCCCAATTTAATTCCATTGTGGTCAGAGAATGTACTTTGTATGATTTGAATCCTCCCAAATTTATTTTTATTTGTTTTATGGCCAAAATAAATAGGTCTATGTTGGTAAATGTTCCATTAACGCACTGGCATTGAGTCAGATCCAACTTATAGCGACCCCTCCTTGGGTTTCTGAGGTGATATCACTATGGAAGTAGATTGCCCAATCTTCCTTCCAAGGAGTGGCTGGTGGATTTGAACCACCATCCTTCTGGTTAGCAGTCAAATGCCTTAGGCACTGTGCCACCAGAGCTCCCAAATGTTCCATATGTATCTTAAAATAACATATGTCCTATTATGTCATTCCAGTTAGTTAATCATTACCCTAAGATCGAACAGTTTTATGAATAGAGACACTTAATAGCATAGTGGGTAAGAGGTTAGTAACTAAAATAGAGAGTGTGGAGGGATCTGTATTTTAATCTGTTTGAATTTCTTACAAGCTAAGTGACCTTTGTCAAGTCACTTTACCTCTCTGAGTTTTAGTTCATCATCTGCTTCAAGAGGTAATGCCTGCAAAGCATCATGCATTGTGCTTGGCAGATAGTAAGCATTACATTACTGGTAGCTACTTGGCAGTTCAAACCCACCAGCCATACATGTACATATATATGAGTTTGTGAACATGAGTGTGCATAAAACAAATTGAGATAAATTATACATGCTGTTTATAAAGCTATTTTCCCTACTTAATATCTCATGTGCATTTTCCCATAACTTCAACATTCTTCAAAACCATATGCTTAGTGATTTCAAAAGATTCCATTGTATGGGTCCACCACAGTTTATTTAACTAAACCCTTATTTTTGGACAAATAGGTTGTTTCCAGTTCTTTGCTCTTTCAAATAACTGAACATCTTTGTATGTATACATACATTTGATCTTTCTCTCTCTCTACTTCTTTAGTGTAAACTCCAGAAATGAAATAATTGGTGTTACGAATTGAATGGTGTCCCCCTCCACCCTAAAATATGTGTTGGAATTCTAACCCCTATACCTGTGGATATAATCTCATTTGGAAACAGAGTTTTTGTTAAGTTAATGAGGCCATCTCAGGATAGAATGTGTCTTAAGTCTACTCATTTTTGAGATGTAAAAAGAGAAAATTAGGTGCAGAGAAGCAAACACAAATGGAGGCAGAATGCCCAGAAGAACATTACAAAAGCTAAGCCAAGGATTTTACCCCAAAGCAGAGAGAGAGGGCCTTCCCCTAGAGCTGGCACTCTGAACTTGGACTTGGGAAAATTTTAAAAGACAATGGGCAGCAAGAAAAGGCCATATTCAGTTCAAGCATGAAGGCTGCAAAGCCTATGGCAAAAAGCCAGATGAATTAGAGTCTGGTATTTCTCAGGCTTTTCTTGAGCTGGAGATGAACTCAGATTTAAAAGCTCAATTAAGGGATGTGGGTATAACTGCAGACAAGAAAATTGAAGTTGGTGGTGGCTGGAAAGCTATTAATCTTCATTCCCATTCCTCAACTGAACCTTTCCAGAAAATCCAAGTCCAGCTAGAATGTGAACTGGAGAAAAAAATTCAATGGAAAGCATGTTGTCTTTATTGCTCAGAGGAGAATTCTGCCTAAAGCAACTTGAAAAAGCCAGACCCCAAACAAGCAAAACCATGCCAGGAAGCACACTCTGACAGCCATGCACAATCCAGTCCTTGAAGACTTGGTCTTCTCAAGTGACATTGAGGGCAAAAGAATCCATATAAAGCTGGATGGCAGCTGACTTATAAAGGTTCATTTGAACAAACACAGCAGAACAATATAGGACACAATTGAAACTTTTTCTGGTGCGTTGCAGTGTAGTAAATTACTTAGTATGGCTTTTCTACCCATAAGTCATTGTAAATTCAGTGGTGGAATGAGCAACTGAGGAGCTCCTGATTGTAAATGTTGTCCACCTGGGTTATTTCTGTTGGGCGTGGCACAACACAGTGTTATGGAAGGTTCTCTCTCAGGTGCTTAGAGTTCTGATGCTATGATTGGCTAGTTTGGCCACTCTGCCAAGCTCAAAAGGAGGCCTCCTAGAGGCAGAACTCTCTCTCTGACTGCTGGTTGAGGAAGACGTGCTGCTGAAAGAGACGCGGGCTCCTGAGACACGCGTTGCTGGGAAAGAGATGCAAGAGACACGCATTGCTGAGTGAGACACCGAGGGACCAGCACTGCTGGGAAAGAGACTGTGAGAGACTGTTGGCTGAGGGCTGGTGGGCTGGGAGAGAGACTGAGCATTTTTCCTGAACTTGCATTGTAGCTTGTGGTGCTTCCCTCATAAACCCCATAAAATGTGAGCTCTGTGTGGCCACTGCAGTGAATTATTGAACCCAGGAGAGAGGTGGTAGGTGCTTTGGGAGGAACGGTTGGTGAAAAGGGCTGGAGGGAGGCAGCATGTCTGGCCTTGCAGTAATAGGCCTTGCACTATTGATGGTGATTCTGCGTTCCTCTTGTGGGATTAGAGGAGGTCAGAACATGTGACCTCCTTTCCCTTTTTGCATGTGTATAAGAAGATCTTTAACACTTTAAAGAGGTCCCTCGTGGCAGATTTGTCCAGTGCAATACAATGTCTGATTTCTTGACTGCTGCTTCCATGGGTGTTGATTATGGATCCAAGTAAAATGAAATCTTTGACAGTTTCAATCTTTTCTCTGTTTATCGTGATGTTTCTTACTGCTCCAGTTGTGAGGATTTTTTTTTTTTTTTTTTTTTTTTACTGTTGAGGTGTAATCCATACTGAAGACAGAGTCTTTGATCTTCGTCAGTAAGTGCAAGTCATCTTTACTTTCAGCAAGCAAGGTTTTGTCATTTGCATATTGCAGGTTGTTGTGAGTCTTCCTCTAATCCTATATAGTTCTTCTTCATATAGTCCAGCTTCTGGGATTATTTGTTCAGCACACAGGTTGAATAAGTATGGTGAAAGGATACACCCTTGATGCACACCTTTCCTGATCATAAACCATGCAGTATCTCCTTATTCTGTTTGAATGACAGACTTTGAATAACCAGACTTCATCTCACCTACTTTGGTCACATCATCAGAAGGGAGTAGTCCCTGGAGAAGGACATCACTGTGCTTGGTAAAGTGGAGGGTCAACAAGAAAGGGGAACATCCTTAACAAGATGGATTGACACAGTGGCTGCAACAATGAGCTCAAGCATAGCAAGGATTGTGAGGATGGTACAAGACTGAGACTGGTGTATGTGGGGTCACTATGAGTCAGAATCAACCCAACGGCACCTAACAACAACATAGGAAGCTCACAGGCAAGGATGTTACTTTTTACATTCTCAGAATTTCAACTGTAAACAAAAATGATTCAATAAAGTATCATTCATACACACACAGAAATCAGCAATGGGCACATGTTTAATATTTGGGTGGTTACTGCCAGTAAAAAAAATATACTTTTTTTGTGAGGTTAAATATGAAACCTACTTTAATCAACAATGACTTCTAATGAACATATAAACTAATTAATGCATATGGCACTCCTGATTTTTTTTTCTATTTTTAAAGCTTTTTATTTTTGGAATAATTTTAGATTTATAGAAAAGTTGTGCAGATAGTGTAAAGCTCCCATTTACCCTCCATCCAGCTTCCCCTATGTTAACATCTTACATAACCAGGGTAAATTTGTCAATATCAAGATGTTAGCATTGGTAATTGCTGTCAACTAAACTTTAGACTTCATTTGGATTTCAAGAATTCACAAATTCAGTTTTTCCATGACTACCTTTTTTTCTGTTTCAGGATCCAATGTTTTTAAAAATTGGCAGAGTATTGACAATAAAATACAGAGACTATAAAAAAAAATAATGAGTCTTGCATTTGACTCTGGAAAAGTCGGTCTAGGTTTCTGTCTTGTTTTCCTAATGCTGTTGTAACAGAAATATCGTGAATGGATGGCTTTAAAAAACAGAAATTTATTTTCTCACAATTGTGGAGGTAAAAGTTCAAATTAAGATCTCGGTCATATCATTTCCTTCCAAGTCAGTAGGCCCGGCCATTCCTTGGTTCTTTTGCTTGTAGATGATCCTCACGCGGTTTCTGTATTCCCCTGTATGTACATGCCTCCAGGGTCTATGTTGCTATATGTTACTCAGAACTGATTATGTTTAGGATCTACCCTACATTGGTATGACCTCACCTGATTGACTACTTTACATTAGATTGCATTATGGACAGTGACTGCATTGCCCTGTTGCTGTTAGGTGCTGTCAAGTCAGTTCTGATTCATAATGACCCTATTACAATAGAATGAAGCACTGCCCAGTCCCAAGCCATCCTCACAATTGTTCCTGTGTTTGAGCCCATTATTATAGCCACTGTTTCAATGCATCTCATTGAAGGTCTTCTCCTTTTTCATTGACCCTCTACTTTACCAAGCTAAGTGCCCTGGGTGCCCTAGGTGGCACCAATGGTTACGTACTCAACCATAGCCAAAAGGTTGGTGATTTGAATGCACCCAGAGATACCTTGGAAGACAAACCTGGAACTCTGCTTCTGAAAGGTCACAAAAACTCAATGGAACAGTTCAACTCTGCTTACCTGGGTTGTGTGCACACATAGTCTCGATGACAACTAAGACCAACAATAATGGAAGGTAATTAGTTAGATTAAATAAATGGAATGGAACACATAAAGATCAATATCCTAGATATTAGCGAGCTAAAATGGACTGGAATTGGCCACTTTGAATCAGACAATCATATGGTCTACTATTCCAGGAACAGCTAATTGAAGAGGAATGGCGTTGCACTAATCATCAAAAAGAATGTTTCAAGCTCTGTCTTGAAGTACAATGCTTCTAGTGATAGCATAAAATCCACACATATACAAGGAAAACCAGTTAATACAACTATGGTTCCAATTTATGCACCAACCTCTAAAGCCAAAGATGAAGAAATTTTTACCAAGTTTTGCAGTCTGAAATTGACCAAACGTGTGACCGAGATGTATTGATTATTACTGGTGATTGAAATGCAAAAGTGAGAAACAAAGAAGAATCATCGATAGTTGGAAAATATGGCCTTAGTGACAGAAATGATACCAGAGATCGCATGATAGAATTTTGAAAGACCAATACCTTATTCATTGCAAATACCTTTTTTCTTTTTCCCCTAGGACTTTCTTCCTAGTCTATTTTAGTGTGGAAACCCCACTGAAACCTGTTCAGCATCATACAAGTGAGTGACAAATGAGTGGTGGCTGTGCTAGAGGTGCATTGGCTGTGATCAAACCTGGGTTTCCCATGGAAGGCTGGAACTCTAACACTGAACCACCACTGCCCCCTGACACAAATAATAAGTGTCCGATAAATATCTGTTGGTCAGCTGAGTGACTTGGAATAGTGAGAAGAAATAACTGAAATCAGAATTACCCAAGGAAAATGTAAGTAGGGCCACTCAAATTCTTCTGGCTTTTAAGATTTGCTCATTCAAGTGATTCTCAAAATACATCTATATATAATTAAATACTAATCCCCTTTAGAGTGGAGTGCAGACACTTCCCAATACCAAAAGACAAGAAAGATAATTAAAACCAATATACTAGAAACCCTCCATTGTTATCAAGAAAAGAATGAGAAGAACTAAAACAAGTTTTTTTCACAAATACATTTTTTTCAATAATATAAATAGTGGCTATACATGTAGACCTTGCCAGATGGAATACACAGGACTCAGATTGACTACATCTGTGGAAACAGTCGATGGAGAAGCTCAGCATCATTAGTCAAAACAAGGCCAGGAATTGAACATGGAACAGACCATCGATTGATCATATGCAAGTCCAAGTTGAAGCTGAAGAAAATTAAAACAAGTCCACGAGAGCCAAAATACAACCTTGATTATATCCCACCTGAATTTAGAGACTGTCTGAAGAATAGATTTGACATATTGAACACCAGTACCAAAGACCGGTCAGGTTGTGGAGTGACATCAAGAAGATCATACATGAAGAAAACAAAAGGTCATGAAAAAGACAGGAAAAGAAGAAAAGACCAAAATGGATATCAGAAGAAACTCTGAAACTTTCTTATGAATGTAGAGTAGCTAAAACAAGTGAAAGCGCTGATGAAATTAAAGAGCTGAACGGAAGATTTCAAAGGGTGGCTTGAGAAGACAAAGTATCATAATGAAATGTACCAAGACCCAGAGTTAGAAAACTAAAAGGGAAGAACACGCTCGGCATTTCTCGAGCTGAAAGAACTGAAGAAAAAAATTCAAACCTCGAGTTGCAATATTGAAGGATTCTCTGGGCAAAATATTAAATGATGCAGGTAGCATCAAAAGAAGATGGAAGGAGTTCACAGAGTTACTGTACCAAAAAGAATTGGGCAATGTTCAACTATTACGGGAGGTAGCATATGAAAAAACCAATGGTACTGAAGAAAGACGTCCAAGCTATAGTGAAGGAATTGGTGAAAAACAAAACTTCAAGAATTTATGGAATAACCAGAAGAACTAGATGGTGCCCAGCTACCAATGTCCACCACTTGGAAGGGGATCTATGTAGGAGATCCTGGAGAGAGAGGGAGAACATTGTGGACAAAACTTAAAATCATTTGGAGAAAAAAAAAAAGGGAGGGGGACCAGGTTTGCTGGTCCGATAGAGCCTGATGGAACCACTGAGACTATGGCCCCTAGATGCCCATCAGGTCTGGAATTGAACCCACACCTGTGGCTTCCAGCCAAGCAAAAGACAGGCATATGAGTTGAATATTTAGCTCAGGTAGATACACTCCTTGGAGAGAACAATCATGGGAGAAAGAAGTGCTGCTTATGCACAGGGAGACAGCTCAGGGGACAGGAGGGCATGGAGGGATGGACACAGGGAAGAGATAATTATCAGGAGAAAGTGGGAGGGGAGCTGTTGCATTGTGGTAAATTTTGGTCAATGTCATGAGACAAAATGTATGTGAACTGCTGTATGGAAAGTGAATTTGCTTTGTCAATTTTCACCCAAATCTCACACACACAAAGAATTGATGGAATAAAGAAGTGAAGCAAAAAAGAAGAAGAATTACGCAATATCCATTGAGATGTTTCAACAAATGGATGCAGTGCTGGGGGCACTTACTCATTTATGCCAAGAAATTTGGAAGACATCTACCTGGCCAACTGACTGGAAGAGATCAATATTTGTACCCATTCCAAGGAAAGGTGACCCAATGGAATGTGAAAATTATCAAACAATATGATTAATGTCAGACACAAGTATAATTTTCTGAAGATAATTAACAAAATGGTTGCAGCACCATATTGACATAGAACTGCCAGAAATTCAGGCTGGATTCAGAAGAGAATGTGGAACAAGGGATATCATTGCTGATGTCAGATGGATCTTCGCTGAAAGCAAAGAACACCAGAAAGATATTTGTTGTTTGGTGTTAGGTGCTGTCAAGTCATTTCCAACTCATAGCGACCCCATGCACAGCAGAACGAAACACTGCCTGATCCCGCACCAGCTCCATGATCCTTGCTATGCTTGAGCCCATTGCTGCAGCCACTATGTCAATCCATCTCTTTGAGGACCTTCCCCTCTTTCATTGACCCTTCACCTTACCCAGCATGACATGTTTACCTGTGTTTTATTGACTATGCAAAGACATTCATCTACGTGGATTAAAACAAAATGTGTATAACATTGTGAAAAATGGAAATTCCAATATACTTAATTATGCTCATGAAGAAGTTGTACATGGATCAGACAGAACAAGGAGATACTGCATGATTTAAAATCAGGAAGGATATGTGTCAGGGTTGTCTCCTTTCACCAGTCTTATTCAATCTGTATACTGAGCAAATAATCTGAGAAGCTGGACTATATGAAGAAGAACACAGCATCAGGATTGGTGGAAGACTTATTAACAACCTATAATATGCAGATGACACGACCTTGCTTGCTGAAAGTGAAGATGACTTGAAGCACTTACTGATGAAGATCAAAGAGTACAGTCTTCTATGTGGATTATACCTCAAAATAAAGAAAACAAAAGTCCTCATAACTGGACCAATAAGCAACATCCCAATAAATGGAGACAACATTGAAGTTGTCAGGGATTTTATTTTACTTGGACCCATAATCAACACCCATGGAAGCAGCAATCAAGAAATCAGATGTTGCATTGCACTGGGCAATTCTGCTGCAAAAGACCTCTTTAAAATGTTGAAGAGTAGATATCAGTTTGAAGATTAAGATATGCCTAACCCAAGCCATGGTATTTTCAATCGCCTCATATGCATGTGAAAGGTAGACAATGAATATGGAAGACCAAAGAAGAGTTGAGGACTTTGAATTGTGGTGTTGGTGAAAAATACTAAAAATACCATGGACTGCCAGAAGAATGAACAAATGTGTCCTGAAAGTGTAGCCAGAATGTTCTTTGGAAGTGAGAATAGCCAGACTTTGTCTCATGTTGTCAGAAGGGACAATTCCTTGGAGAGTATCATGCCTGGTAAAGTAAAGGATCAGAGAAAAAGAGGAAGACTCAACAAGATGGATTGACACAGTGGCTGCAACAATGAGGTCAAGCATTTCAAGGATTGTGAGGATGGCACAGGACCGGGCAGTGTTTCGTTCTGTTGTGCATCGGGCTGCTGTTAGTCAAAATCAAGCAGACCGCACCTAAAAATGATGCCAGAGATGCCTTGAAAGACAAGTCTAGAGATGTGCTTCTGAAAGGTCACAAAAGTCCAATGGAACAGTTCAGCTCTGCACATGTGGGCTGTATGTACACATAGTGTTGATGACAACTAAAACCAACAATAATGGAATGTGATTATATTAGATCACATTATTGAAGGTGCTTACATTACTTTAGATTGCATAATGGAAGATGATTACATTAGGTTATATTATATGCAGTTATGTTGTTGTTGTTATGTGCCGTCGAGTCGGACCCGACTCATAGCGACCCCTCCTTGGGAACCGCCAGCCTTCTGGATTAGCAGTCAAGCGCGTTAGCTACCAGAGCTCCCATGCACAGTTTTAGAGGCTGTGAATGCCAACACATATTTTGAGGGGACAAGATTCAGTCTTTAACCGTCTCCCACTGAGCTGTCTTTTCCTTCTCATCACTTTGTTAGGTTAATGCATGGAATCTGGAAACCGCAGAGCCTGTGTTCCGTCTCCTGGGTGACACCTCTGACACCTGGGTGTGTACAGCAGTGTTTGCCTCCCAGACCCAGCTGCTGATGGTGTCCATGAATGGCATGGTCAGTCTGTGGAGCTCAGCCACAGGGAAATTGCAGGGGAAGCGACATCTGTCCAGTGTCAAAGAAGAAACACCCACGTGTGGGGTTGCAGTCCAGAAACAAGGAAAGTTGGTGACTGGGTTCAGCAGTGGCTCCGTCTCTCTGGTAAGCAACTTGACTAAATATGATGACATTAACTCAGCTCTAAGGGCTCAGATGTCCTAGAAAGTTGGGAGAAAGCATCTTACGTTAAATTTTTATATAAATAACAGTTGGCTTCTTAATTCTTTCTTCATGTTTGTCTTGTGTCATTGAGTCAATTCCAACTCATGGCAACTCCATGCGTTACAAGGCACAGCTGCACACTGTAGGTTTTTCCTGGCTGTAATCTTTACAGAAGCAAACTTTCCTCTGTGGTGCTATTGGGTAGATTTGATTGAACTGCCAATCTTTTAGTTACCAGCCAAGTGCATCATTTAAGCCACCCAGGGACCTTTTCTTAATTCTATGGATTTATAATTTGATCCAGTTTGGGAAACATCTAGTGGTATTCCTGGGGATTAGGCACCATGTTAGGACCTGGAGGGACTATAAAACCAAAACCAAACTTACTGCCATTTGGTCGATTCTGCCTCATAGCAGCCTCCACTGGGTTTCTAAGGCAGGAAATTGTTATGGAAGTAAATTGCCCCATCTTCCTTTCACAGAGTGGCTGGTGGCTTTGAACTGCCAACCTTCTGGTTATCAGTCGAATGCCTTAGACACCACACCATGAGAGCTCCGTGGAGAAACTATAGAAATACGAGATCCCAAAACTCACCTTCAAGGAGCTCACAAACTTGGAAGGAGATGGCTTGTCAAGGACTTAGAGTAACCCAAAGAGGCATGGCAAGGAGCATGCACTCAAAATTCAGTATCCAAGCTGGTGATGAGATTTGGGATTGGGGACAGAACCTCCCTCAAACATTTGAACTGTCATCAAGCAGCATTAGCTGGGAAAACACTAATGTTGTTATGTGCTGTCGAGTTGGACCCAACTCATAGAGATCCCTCCTTGGGTTTCCGAGGCAGTATCACTATGGAAGTAGGTTGCCCAACCTTCCTTCGGAGGAGTGGCTGGTGGGTTTGAACTGCCAACCTTCTGGTAAGCAGTCAAGTAAGTGCCTTAGGCACTATGCTACCAGAGCTCCTGGGAAACACTAAGGAAGGTGCTAACTGCTCCCTGTAAGTGCTCCCAGGGGATTAGATTTTTACAGTACCTTTTATACAGATTGGTTGACATTAAAAAAAAAACAACAACAGGTTATGATTAATGTTGTAAAATAGTTGTTGGATGAAGATGAGTCCTGCTTATAAGACTTTCACATATGATCACTCACAGGAACACATTCCAAATATGGACAGCCTTCCTGGGGGTGGTCTCAGCACAAGGAATCTTGAGCAAACATGGTCTTATACATATGTACTTTCTGCGAACAAAACAATTTTAAGCAAAGCATGGTTTTATTATGTACTTCCCAAGAACAAAAACAGTCTTAAGCAAAACATATCAATTATTTCCTGGAACATTTTCTCCTGGCTTAAGTTTAATCATATCCTGGTTACCCACCACATCCCTATCATTTGTGAAACCAGCAGAGAGATTAGCTATAAATGAAGAGTGAAAAGAGGAACAGAAATTATAGAGTTTTTGGCCTCCTTTGTCAGTCCCATCAGTAATGCTAAGCACCCTGAAATTTTGAGTGATGTATATAGAACAAAATCCGTTCACTTCTTCACCAAAGAAGACATCCAAATGGCCAACAAGCATGTGAAAAGATGCTCAATGTCATAAGGGAAATGCAAATCAAACCACAATGAGATCATTTCACTACCAGTGGGAAGGCTTTGATTAAAAATATGAACAACAGTTAAGTATTGGCAAGAATGTAGAGAAATGGGAACCCTCATGCATTGTTGGTGGGAATGCAAAATGATGCACCACTGTGGAAAAGAAAACAGCATGACAGTTCCTCAGAAAGTTGAACATAAAACTACCATGTGACTCAGTAATTCCACTCCTAGGATATACCCAAGAGAACTGAAAATAGAAATGCAAACAAGTAGTTCCATACAAGTGTTCATTGCAGCACTATTCACAATAATCAAAAAGTGGAAACAACCCAACCGTCCATCAACATATGACTGGATAAACACAACGTGCTCAATCCACACAATGGAATGTTTCTCATCCATATCAAGAATGAAGCACTGATACATGCTATAGCATGGATGAACCTTGAAAACGTTATGCCAAGTAAAAGAAGTGAGTCACAAAAGGGTTAAATATTGTATGACTCCACTTACATCTACTATCTAGAATAAGCAAGAGTATACAGATCAAAATCGATTAGTGGTTACCAAGGGTGAGTGAGAGGGGAGAGAAAAGGAGGACTCATTTTTTAGGGGACACTAAGCATCTCTTAAGTGTGATGTAAAAATTTGGAAATGGATAACGGCGATGGTTCCTCGTCATGATGAATGCAATTAATGTCATTGAGCTGTACATGTGAAGAATGTTGAAATAGTCAATGTTAAGTTACGTCCATTTTTATCACAATCAAAAAAGCTGTAAAAAGAATCAGTTCATTTCTGCTGTTCAGAAATTATGAGAATGGCACCTTCTTCTAGCTCCACACTGTTTTTGTTTTCCAATTTTTTTGGTAAGAATGTATACATCAAAACCTTCAACAGGATGACAACTTCCATATTTATTACAAATTGACACTGATCATATTTTTCGTGTTGTGCCACCATTATTACTATCTTTTTCCAAAACACTCTATCACCATTAACATAACCTCAGTGTCCCCTAAGCAAAACTCTCCTTCCTCCCTTCAATCACTCCTGTAACCACTGATAATCTTTGGTTTCTACATGTTTGCTTATTTCATATAAGTGAGATCATACAGTATTTTTTCTTTTGTGAATGACTCATTTCACTCCGCTTGATGATTTTAAGGTTCATCCATGTCCTGGTGTCATCAAGACTGCATTCTCTTTATGGCTGAGTAATAATGAAAGACGTATGGCGTATGAACGATGTTTTATTTACTTGTGTTTTGTTTACTATGCAAAGGCATTTAGTTGTGTGGATCACAAGGAATTATGGGTAACATTGCAAAGAGTGGGGATTTCAGGATACTTAATTTTGCTCATGAAGAACCTATACATAGACTAAGATGCAGTCATTTGAACAGAACAAGAGGATAGTGCATGGTTTAAAATCAGGAGAGGTGCGCGTCAGGGTTATATCCTTTCACCGTACTCATGAAATCCGTATGCTGAGCAAATAATCGAGAAGGTGGGCTATTCAAAGAAGAATGCAGCGTCAGGATTGGAGGAAGATGCATTAACAACCTGTGACGTGCAGATGACACAACTGTGCTTGCTGAAAGTGAAGATGATTTGAAGCACTTACTGAAGAAGATCAAAGAACACAGCCTTCAGTATGGATTACACCTCAACATAAAGAAAACCAAAATCCTCACGACTGAACCAATAAACAGTATCATGATATATGGAAGAAAGATTGACTTTTGTAAGGGATTTCATTTTACTTGGATCCATAATCAACGCCCATGGAAGCAGTAGTCAAGAAATCAGATATCGTATTGCACTTGGCAAATCTGCTACAAAAGAGCTCTTTAATGTATTAAAGAGCAAAGATGTCACTTTGAAAACTAAGGTGCACCTGACCCAAGCCATTCTATTTTCAACTACCTAATGTGCATGTGAAAACAGGACAATGAATAAGAAACACACAAGAAGAACTGATGCCTTTGAATTGTGGTGGTGGTGAAGAATACTGAAAATGCTATGCACTGGCAGAACAACAAACAAGCCTATCTTGGAAGAATCACAGCTGAAATGATGTTTAGAAGTGAGAAAGGACAGGCTTCTTCTCACATACTTTGTTCATGTTGTCAGAAGGGACCAGTCCCTGGAGAAGAATATCAAGCTTGGTAAAGTGGAGGGTCAGCAAAAAAGGGGAAGACCCTCAGCAAGATGGACTGACACAGTGATTGCAACGAGGGGCTCAAGCTCAGCAAGGCCTGTGAGGATGGTGCAGGACCAGGCAGTGCTTCATTCTGTTGTACGCAAGGTCTCTGTGAGTCAGCGCCAACTCGATGGCACCTGACAACGACAGCAGTATTCCATGGTGTGCATATACAACATGGTGCTTACCCACTGTGTTATGATTTTGTTTGACATCTCTTTTCCACAGACTGATGGAGTGCTGGAATAGTCTCTGGGTCTCTGGGTGGCAATAAACAACAAGGATGTCAGCAATGATAATAATACAGATGAGAGCTGTCAGCCTGGGAGGGTTTTCTGTGTGCATTGCACCTTTCAATGCACTTCTTAGACAACACTACCTGGTACGGTGGGTCCTACTATCATCACTGTTTGACAGGTGAGGACACAGAGGCCCCAAGGGGATAAGGACCTTGCTTAGGATCCCAGTTGATAAGTGCTAGTGCTCTGGTAGCGTAGTACCTAAGGCACTTGATTGCTAACCAGAAGGCTGGCAGTTCAAACCCACCAGCCACTCCTCGGAAGGAAGGTTGGGCAATTTACTTCCATAGCGATACTGCCTCAGAAACCCAAGGAGGGGTCGCTATGGGTCGAGTCCGACTCGATGGCACATAACAGCAGCAACAGCAACAACAGCTGCCCAGCATGGGATCTAAGCTCTAACCCTAACCCTCATGGCATTGATTAATTGGACATTGTCTCAGTGTCCAAAACCAAAAAAATAAATAAATAAAACCCATTGCCATCAAGTCAATTCCAACTCATAGTGACCCCAATTGGTTTTCCAAGGCTGTAAATCTCTGTGGGAGTAAATTGCCTCATCTTCCTCCCACAGAGCAGCTGGTGGATTTGAACCACCAACCTTCTGGTTAGCAGCCAAATGGTTTACGTACTATACCTCCAGAGCTCCGTCCTCAGTGCCCTATGATTGTTGTAACACAAATACCAAAAGTGGGTGGCTTTAAAGAACAGAAATTTATTTTCTCACAGTTTAGGAGGCTGTTGTTGTTACTAGTTGCCATTGAGTCAATTCTGACTTACAGCGATCCATGTGTGCAGAAGAGAACTTTCAAGGTCATGATCTTTTGGAAGCAGATCATCAGACCTTGCATGGGCGGGTTCAAAATGTTTGGCTAATAGTCAAGCACTTAAACCATTTGTGCCACCCAGGGATTCCTGTTTAGAAGCCTGAAAGTCCGAGTTCAGGGCGCCAGCCCTGGAGGAAGGCTCACTCTGTCTGCTCTGGGGAAGATCTCTGTCTCAGCTTCCGCAGCCCCAGCCATCCTCGGTTCCTTGGTGACCTCCACATGGCATCTATCGTTCCCCCGTGTGCTTGTTTCTCTCTGTGTCTGGGTCAAGCCTTCAACTACTAGTCCAAAGACTGGTGGTTAGAACCCACCCAGAGATGCCTCGGAAGACAGGCCTGGCAATCTGCTTCTGACAGGCCACAGCCTTGAAAACCCTGTGAAGTACTATCTGCTCTGCAGTCGGGGTCACCTTCATGGCAGCAACAGCAGCCCTGCGTCTAATCTGCTCTTTGATATTTCAAAAGTGATTAGGTTTCAAACACATCCTACACAGATAGGGCCTCATTGCCACAACAAAAGAAACCCTACTCCCAAACAGGATTACACTCACAGGGCTGGGGGTCAGTATTCCAACACACATTTTGGGGGTATGCAATTCAGTCAATAACACGCATCCTTGACTGTGCCCAGGTTTCCTCCAAAGGAGACAGACTGCTAGAGAAGCTTCCGGAAGCTGTGAGGTTCCTGGTGATCTCTGAGGATGAGTCCCTTCTCGCTGCAGGTAGAATTTGAGTCTCATTTGGGGGTATCGAGGAGGACAAACCAGGATTGGGTTGCAGGGGAGGAGGGGCTTGGGGAAAAGAAGGGGTCCCAGGCCAGAGGCTGGCACCTCTTTTCTATAAAGGACCAGATGTTGTTGTTGTTAGGTGCCATCGAGTTGGCTCCAACTCATAGCGACCCCGTGTACAACAGAATGAAACATTGCCGGATCCTGTGCCAGCCTCATAATCCTTGCTATACCTGAGCCCATCGTTGCAGCCACTGTGTCAATCCAGCTCATTGAGAGTCTTCCCTCAACGGGTAGTCAATCTTTTTTGGGGTTGCAAGCCTCATGATCCCCACTGACTGGACTCAGCTCTACCGCTGTGGTGTGAAGGCAGCCATGGACAACACATAATGAATGACAGTGGCTATGTGCCCAGGAAAAGGTCCAGGTGGTACAAACGGGTTGCACCCGACTGTTAACTGAGGTTGGCAGTTTGAACTCCCTCAGTGGAGACACAGATGGAGGGCCTGGTGATCGTCCACAAACAGAACAACCAAGAGAACCCCTGGAGCAGTTCTACTCTGTCACGCATGGGGCCGCCATCAGTCAGAAGCCACTGACAGCAGCGAGGTTTATATTTCAGCGCACTCTGCATGCAGCTTTGCCCTGGGAGCCCAAACAGGCAGTTCCTGCTTTCCAGAAATCTATAGTCTCGTAATAATCGTAACTATTCAAACAATTTTCTGAGATTATTGTTACTGTGACTCCCCTACACACACACACACACACACACACTTGCGCACACACACTCGGCAGGCTATGTGATGATAAGGACAGTCTTAGTCTCCTAGCGCTGCTGGAACAGAGATACCAAAATTGGGCAGCTTTAACAAACAAAAAATTTATGTTCTCACCGTTCAGGAGGCCAGATGTGTGAATTCAGGGTGCCAGCTCTAGGGGAAGTCTCTCTGTCAGCTCTGGGGGGAAATCCGTGTCCCTTTCATCTTCTTTTCCTTGATTCCTTATAGATCTCCACGTGGCATAATTCTCCCATTTACACTTCCTTGATTCAGTGCCTAATCTGCTCCTTTTACAGCTCAAAAATGATTGATTTAAAACACATCCTGCACTGATAAACCCACTGCCGTCAAGCCGGACCCCCAACTCATAGCAACCCCTCCTTGGGTTTCCGAGGCGGTATCACTACGGAAGTAGATTGCCCAACCTTTCTTCCGAGGAGTGTCCAGTGGGTTTGAACCACCAGCCTTCTGGTTAGCAGTCAATTGCCTTAGGCACTACGCCACTAGAGCTCCTTACACTGATATGTATGGCCTCATTAATATGACAAAGAAAACCTTATTCCCAAATGAGATTACTCCACAGGTATAGGGATTAGGGATCCAACTCATATTTTTGGGGCACACAATTCAGACCATAAAAGGGACCATGTCTCTTTTGTCCCCCACTGTGTTCCTTCCATGGGCACATAGTAGGTGCTCAGAAAAAATCCTGGTAGCTTGAATGGCTCTCATCCTCAAGGAACAGAAGGCGTAACCGTGTCCCTGCCGTTTCAGGCTTTGGAAGATCTGTGCGGATATTCTTGGCTGACTCACAGGGCTTCCACCACTTCATGGCCACAGATCTGGAACACGAGGACATGGTGGAAACGGCTGTCTTTGGTCCCAATAACAATCTAATTGTCACAGGATCCCATGACTCACTCATTCAGGTAAGGGGGAGATCCTGGCTGGCACCCTCCCTTCTGCCTCAGGAAGAGAAGATTTGATTCTTTTTATTTATTTATTTATTTTTGCAGTGTTTCCTCCCCTCCACTCCCAAAATGTGATTCTTTGGGGACCTTTTGGCTTCCAGGCAGAGAAATCAGTGAAAACTTGTTGTTGTTACGTGCTGTGGAGTCAGACCCGACTCATAACGACCCCTCCTGGGGTTTCCAAGGCGGCATTACTATGGAAGTAGATTGCCAAACCTTCCTTCCGAGGAGTGGCTGGTGGGTTTGAACCACCAGCCTTCTGGTTACCAGGCAAAACAGGGCAGGTCATCGGCAGGATATGGGTTATCTCTGGGGACCCAGCAGTAGATTGGTAACAGTTACTCAAATAGAAGGGAATAGTGTTCCAAGTCTGTATTACTATGGAAGTAGATTGCCCAACCTTCCTTCCGAGGAGTGGCTGGTGGGTTTGAACCACCAGCCTTCTGGTTACCAGGCAAAACAGGGCAGGTCATCGGCAGGATATGGGTTATCTCTGGGGACCCAGCAGTAGATTGGTAACAGTTACTCAAATAGAAGGGAATAGTGTTCCCAGTGAACCTGAAAAACTGGGAGGAAATGGCCTGCAGGGCAGAGCAGGGTGTGGAAAGGAAAATTCCAGGTAAGCTCAAAGTTACTGAAGCTGGCGGGCAAGGAAACCATGTAGGAGGATAATGGTTCTCCAGCATTTGGTCTTAGGACCCTGTTATACTGTTAAAGATTGTTGAAGACCCCCAAAAGCGTTTGTGTATGTGGGTTATATCCACTAATAGACAGACAGATAGACAGATAGATGGATGGATGGTTGAGTGGATAGGTGGGTGGATGGATGGGTGGATGGATCGGTGGACAGGCAGACAGTTGCACTGAGTCAAGTCTCACTCACGGCGACCTCGTGTGCGGCAGAACCAGACGTTGTCCGCTCCTGCACCCCCCTCACAGTCACTAGCACGCTTGCGTCCAGCGTTGTGGCCACTGTGGCAGCCCATCTCCCTAAGGGTCTCCCTCACCCTCACTGGCCCTCTTCTTCACCAAACACGAGGTTCTCTGTGATTGGTCCCTCCTGATGACATGTCTAAAACAAGGGAGTTGGACGACACTCTGTTGTGATCATAGGTTTTCGCCGGCTAAGTTTTAGAAGTAAATCACCAGGCCTTTCCTCCTAGCCCATCTTAGTCTGGAAGCTCGGCTGAAACCTGTTAACCGTGAGTAATCCTGCTGGTATGTGAAATACCAGCAACAGCTTCCAACATCACAGCAACATACAAATGACCACAGCAAGAAAAGCTAACAGATGAGTGGGGGGCGGGGGAAGAAAGGGAGAGAGAGAGAGAAAGAAGCATTCACACATACATACATACATCTAAAAACTCACTGCTGTCGAGTCAGATCCGACTCAGAGGGACCCCTCCATGGGTTTCCGAGGCAGTCTCACTACGGAAGTACACTGCCCAACCTTCCTTCCAAGGAGTGGCTGGTGGGTTTGAACCACCAGCCTTCTGGTTAGCAGTCAAATGCCTTGGGTACTACACCACCAGAGCTCCCTCATACATTCGTAGATATTTTAAAAATAAATGATTTATTTTAAAGGAGTCCCTGGGTGGCCCTTGTGGACTTGTTTTAATTTTCTTCGGGTTCAACTTTTCTTTCTTTTTTTTTGTGATTTGGGTGAAAATCCACAGAGCAAATTCACTCTCCATACAGCAGTTCACACACACGTTGCCTCATGACATTGACCACAATTTACTCCAATGCAACAGCTCCCCTCCCACTTCCTCCTGATAGCCACCCCCTCCCCGTGTCCATCCCTCCATTCACTCCCACCCACCCAAACCGTCTCCCTGCACATAAACCACCCCTCTCTCCCCTACGATTGCTCTCTCCAAGGAGTGCACCCACCAGGTACATGCTCAGCTCATATGCCTGTCTTTTGTTTGGCTGGAAGCCACAGACCTGAAGGGCAGCTAGGGACCATAGTCTCAGTGGTTCCACCAGGCTCTATCAGACCAGCAAACCTGGTCTCCTTTTTTTTTTTTTCCCAAATGATTTGGAGTTTTGTTGTCTTCAGTTTCAACTTGAACTTGCATATGAGCAATTGACAGTCTGTTCTGCAGTCCCCCCGGCCTTCTTCTGACTTAGGCTTCTCCATTGTCTCTTTCGACAGATGTAATCTACTTGAGTCCTGTGTATTCCATCTGGTGAGGTCCACGTTCATAGTCACCATTTATGTTCTAGCCTCCTGAACTTTGAGAAAATAAATTTCTGCTTTAAAACCACCCACTTGTGGTATTTGTGTTATAGCAGCACTAAGAGACCAAGACACCAGAGTTTCCTGGAATACACTCTGAGGTCCACTGTCATAGCCCTTCTGTTCCCTGTCCTCAGGTATGGAGTCTATCGGAACAAGGCACCTTGCTGGACGTCCTCGAAGGTGTCGGAGCCCCCGTGAGCCTGCTGGCCCGGGGCGGGGCCTTGGTGGCATCTGCTTCCCAGCAGTCCTCATCTTTCAAAGTCTGGGATCTCACCTATGCTCAGAAGCCCAGAGTCTCTGCTCCCTTTCTGGACCGCACTGGCCTCACTGCTGTGTCACACAATGGAAGCTACATCTACTTCCCCAAGATTGGGGACAAAAACAAAGTCACCATCTGGGACTTGGCAGAAGGTTTGTAAGATCTAAGTAGTCAGAATGACCACCTGTGTTATTTGTGTGGGTAAGAATTGAAGGCCCCATAACTCCAGTCAGGTTCAAAGTGGCTAACAGACACCTGGACTTGATTGTCCAGCATAAGGCAATTGATAATCTAGTTGTTTGCTGTCGTCAAGTTGGCCCCTGAAGAGTGGCAGCCCCATGTGTTTCAGAGTAGAACTGCTCCATAGGGCTTTCTTGGCTGTAATCTTTTTACAGAGCTGTTTGCCACATCTTTCTTCTGTGGCACAGCTGGGTGGGTTTGAACCACCAACCTTGGGGCTAGCAGTTCATCACAAACATCTTCTGCTTCCCAGGATCCTTGATAATCTGGCTGTTAATCCCTGTTGTGGTTCAGGTGACCTAGAAGCAGAGCCTGAGGCAGGGATATTTGCTCAAGTGATGTGTAGAGGGGAACTTTTAGATCTGAGAGGGGTAAGGGGAGCAAGAGGAGACAGGAGAGGGCTGAGCAAGGACGTGGGCTCAGGCAGAGTCAGTCCTCAGCCTGACCTCATGGTGTTGTAGGAAAACAAGGTCCTTGCCCTCTGTCACCAACAGCCAATGATCACAACAGGTTGAAGAGGGAAAGCAAAAGGTTTATTGAGCGAGACCCAAGGAGGCAGAGAGAATCCCTTCTCTAAAATGTCTGTCTCCTCAAACAAAGGAGTAAACACGATTATACAGGGAGATGGGAAGGGGGTTGAAGATCCCTTGGACTGCCAAGAATGTCTTTGTTCTTCTCTTCCTTGGTTGCTCCAGACTCAGCATCCCTCTTCCCGGGGTCGTCTTGCTTCATAGGCTATGGTTCTCAGCCAAAACCAGTCACGGGAAAGGGTTATGCTCACAATGTATGATTGAAAACAGCAAAATAAAAATCTCAACATCTGTGAAAAAAAAGGTCAGCTATTCTATTTACTTAAGAAAAAGCAAAAGGGAGGGGAAAATAGCAAGTTAGTCACCGTGATGAATGTCCACATTTTCGTGCCTGCTAGCCTATGAAAGGGAGCTCTGGTGGCGTAGTGCCTAAGGCACTTTACTGCTAACCAGAAGGCTGGCAGTTCAAACCCACCAGCCACTCCTCGGAAGGAAGGTTGGACAATCTACTTCCATAGTAACACCACCTTGGAAACCCAAGGAGGGGTCTCTATGAGTCGGGTCCAACTCGACGGCATGTAACAACAACAAGAAGAGGCCTGTGAAAGTTCTACAATTTTCAGTGAGGGGTACCTTCAGCCATCCGTTTCAGCCTTCCACGATGGTGTACTGGTTCCCAAGGGCTGCTGTAACATAAATACCACAAGTGGTTGCATTCAAGAACAGAAAGTTATTCCTCACAGTTCTAGAGGCTAAAAGTCCAAACAAGGGTCTTGGCTGTGTTGGTTCCTTCCTTGTTGGGAGACCTGGGTTTCTTGGCTTGTACAGGATCCTCATACCCAGCCTGTCTTCCCCCTTTAAATGTGTCTCTGTCTCTATTCTGATCTTTATATAACTCAGAAGGGACTCGATTTAGAATCCACCCTGCTTGGTTGTGATTTTATTAACCCTTGTTAATAATAAAATAACATGGAAAAAAGGTCACTGGGTGGTACCACAAGTGGTTTGTGTTCAACTACTAACTGAAAGGTTGGTATGTAAAACAAAACAAAACAAAAACAAAAAAACCCAGCAGTACCACAGAAGAAAGCCCTGGAAATCTGCTTCTGTAAAGATTGTACCCAAGAAGTCTCTCCTTGTCCAGAGCAAAGAAGAATGAAGAAAACCAAAGATTCATGGAAACCACTAGTCCTAGCAACTGGTACACCATGTGATCCACAGCGTATCTGACTATGAGACTAGAAGAACTAGATGGTGTCCAGCTACCACAGTCAACCACTCAGAGAGGGATCTATGTAGGGGATCCTGGATAGAGAAGGAGAACAATGTGGAACAAAACTCAAAATCATTTGGAAAAAAAAAATAATAATAATAAAAGGGGACCAGGTTTGCTGGTCTGATGGAGCCTGGTGGAACCACTGAGACTGTGGCCCCTAGCTGCCCTTCAGGTCTGGGACTGAACGCACACCTGTGACTTCCAGCCAAACCAAAGACAGGCATATGAGTTGAATATGTACCTGAGGTAGAACACTCCTTGGAGAGAACGATCATGGGAGAATAGAAGGGTTGTGTATGCACAGGGAGACAGCTCAGGGGGCAGGAGTGCATGGAGGGAGGGACACAGGGAAGAGGTAACTATTGGGAGGAAGTGGGAGAGGGAGCTGTTGCATTGGGGTAAATTGTAGTCAGTGGCATGAGACAAAGTGTATGTGAACTGCTGTATGAAAAGTGAACTTGCTCTGAAAACTTTCACCCGTATCACACACACACACAAAAGATTGTACCTCAAAAAACCCTATGGAACTCAGTTCTACTCTGTAACACATGGCATTGCTATAAGTCAGTTAGTCTGTTGTTTCTGTTAGGTGCCGTCAAATCATCTCCAACTCATGGCAACCCTATGCACAGCAGAACAAAACACTGCCTGGTCCCGCACCAACTCCACTACCCTTGCTATACTTGAGCCCATCACCACAGCCACTGTGTCAATCCATCTCATTGAGGGTCTTCCCCTCTTTCGTTGACCTTCCACCTTACCAAGCATGACATCCTTCTCCAGGGAACAGTCCCTTCTGACAACATGACCAAAGTAGGTGAGACGAAGTCTGTCCATTCTCACTTCCAAGGAACTTTCTAGCTGCACCTCCTCCAGGACAGATTTGTTAGTTCTTTTAGCAGTCTATGGTACTTTAAGCATTCTTCACCAGCACCACAGCTCAAAAGTGTCAACTTTTCTTCTGTCTTCCTTATTCATTGTCCAGCTCTCACATGAATATGAGGCAATTGAAAATACCATGGCTTGTGTCAGGTGCACCTTGGTCCTCAAAGAGATATCTCTGCTCTTTAGCACTTGAAAGAGATCCTTTGCAGCTGATTTGCCCAGTGCTATATGTCATCTGATGTCCTGACTGTTGTCTCCACTGGTGTCGATTGTAAAATCAAGAAATGTGAAGTCTTTGACAACTTCAATCTATTCTTCATTTATCGTGATGCTGCTTATAGGTCCAGTTGTGAAGATTTTTGTTTTCTTTATATTGAGATGTAATCCATACTGCAGACTGCGTTCTTCAATCTTCATCAGTAAGTGCTTCAAATCATCCTCACTTTCACCAAGCAAAGTTGTGTCGTCAGCATATCGCAGGTTGTTAATGATTCTTCCTCCAATCCTGCTGCCATGTTCTTCTTCATACAGTCCAGCTTCTCAGATTATTTGCTCAGCATAAAGATTGAATAAGTATGGTGAAAGGATACAACCCTGACACACTCCCTTCCTGATTATTAAACCATCCAGTGTCCCCTTGTTCTGTTCGAACAACAACCTCCTGGTCTATGTACAGGTTCCTTGTGAGTACAATCAAGTGTTCTGGAATTCCCATTCTTTTCAGTGTTATCCATAATTTGTTGTGATCCACACATTCAAATGTTTTTGAATAGTCAATAGAACACAAGCAAACATCTTTCTGATATTCTTTGCTTTGAGCCAAGATCCATCTGACATCAGCAATGATATCCCTTGTTCCACATCCTCTTCTGAATCCAGTTTGCATTTCTGGAAGTTCTCTGTCAATATCCTTCTGCAACCGTTTTTTAATTATCTTCAGCAAGATTTTACTTGCATCCAGTATTAATTATATTGTTTGATAATTTCCACATTCTGTGGGATCACCTTTCTTTGGAATGGGTACAAATATGGATCTCTTCCAGTCAGTTAGCCAGGTAGCTGTCTTCCAAATTTCTTGGTATAGCTGAGTGAGTGCCTCCAGCAGGACATCCATTTGTTGAAACTTCTCAACATGTATTCCTGGGGCCTTGTTCTTCACCACTTCCTTCAATACTGTTGGTTCTTGATTATATGCCACCTCCTGAAATGGATGAAACTTGACCAGTTCTTTTTGGTACAGTGACTCAGTATATCCCTTCCATCTTTTTCGATGCTTCCTGCATTTTCCCCATTGAGTTTTTCAGCTTGAGAAATGTCAAATATGTTCTTCCCTTTTGGTTTTCTAATTCCAGTTCTTTTCACACTTCATAATAGTAATTGACTTTGTCTGCTCAAGCTGCTCTTTGAAATCTTCTGTTCAGCTCTTTTATCTTGTCATTTCTTCCATTTGCTTTAGCTACTCTCCACTCAAGGGCAAGTTTCAGAGTCTCTTCTGACATCCATTTTGGTCTTTTCTTCTTTTTTCCTCTTTTTAGTGACTTCTTGCTTTCTTATGAATGCTGTTGTTGATGTCATCCCACAATTCCTCTGGTTTTAGGTCACTGGTGTTTGATGCATCAAATCTATTCTTTAGATGGTCTCTAAATTCAGGAAGGATATATTCAAGTTCATATTTTGGCTCTTGTGGACTTGTTTTAATTGTCTTCGACTTCAACTTGAACTTGCATATGTGCAGTTGATGATCTGTTCCACGATCAGCTATTGGCCTTGTTTTGGCTGAAGATATTGAGCTTTTCCATTGCCTCTTGCCACAGATGTCGTCAATCTGATTCCTGTGTACTCCATCTGAAGTCCATGTGTATAGCCACCATTTGTGCTGTTGAAAAAAGGTATTTGCAATGAATAAGTCATTGATCTCATGAAATTCTGTCATGCAATCTCCAGCATTATTTCTGTCACCAAGGCCAAATTTTCCAGCTACTAGTGATTCTTCTTTGTTTCCAACTTTTGCATTCCAGTCACCAGTGATAATTAATACATCTTGATTGCATGTTCAGTCAGTTTCATACTGCAGAAGTTGGTAAAAATCTTCAATTTCCTCATCTTTGGCTTTGGTGGTTGGTGCATAAATTTGAATAACAGTAGTATTAACTGGTCTTCCTTGTAGGCATATGGATATTATCCTATCACTGACAGCATTGTACTTCAGGGCAGATCTTGA